TTTTTTTTTTTTTTTTTTTTTTTGGTGCCCGGGATGGAACTCACGAACTTGTGCCTGTGAGGCAGGCGGCGCCACTGAGCTAAATCCCTGGCCCTTGCATGACATTTTTACGAGCTGCCTTTCTGTTGGATGGCGCTTACATTTGTGACTACACCTGGTAAAGACACCCAGGAAAGAGACTCCAGAGCTGCTGCAGAAAGTGGTGAGTGCAATGGGATGAATGTGTTTGAAGTGAGGGGGAGGATTTTGAGGGGGACTCGGGGCAATTCATCTCTCATTGTAATGAAGCTTCAACACATTAAATATTAACCACATCTTTCAACCAGTGTCCCATCCTCTGGAGAAGCCCTGTCGCAAGTTTAACCATGGCTGGTCTCAGAGCAGCTCCAAACTCCTGTTGGGGTCAGGGATCAGGGGCAGCACCAGCTTGAGTGCTGCGTGGCACCTTCGCTCCCCTTGTGGGGGCCGCACTGGCCTCCTGGATCTTGTTGGGAAGCAGAGTCCCAGGGCTGCCACTGATCCCTGAATCCATGCTTACCCCAGGAGGTTCCTCGGTACTGGAAAGTTTGAGAATCACCGTGTGGTGCCACTGGATTTCCCTCTCGGGCTCGGCTCATAGGGAGGAGAAGAGCTCAGAGTGGGGTGGGGCTCGGAACCAGGTCTGTTGCACCTCCCCTGGTGGTCACCGTGACAGGTGCCACACTCCTGCCTCTGGCTCACCCGGCCACCAGGCCAGGCCGGACTGATGCCCCACGGAGTAGAGCTCCTGGGTCTGGGAGCTGTGCTTCCCAGAGCAGAGGCAGAGCAGTCAAGTCTGCTCCAGGACCTGCAGTGCAACCTCAGGCTCAGGGGCGACGAATCAGGACGCAGAACCCTGCTGGGTCGCTGGGTCGGAGTGGAGTCTGTTTCTACCCAAGCTCCTTAGCCTCCCAGCATGCCTGGTAAGGAAGCAAGAGTTCCATCTGCCAGAGGAGGATGAAAAAAGTTTCCAAAAATAAAATTTACAGGAGAGCATTTTCCTGGTAGAGCAGAAACGAGCTTGCTGTGACGCACGGCCCTGTCTGAATGGTAGGAAATCCCTCCTCCTTTCTAAGCCGGCTCTTCCTGTGTCACCTTTCATGGGCACCAGAGCCCCAGACAGCTCTGTCCTCTCCCTTCCCAGGGACCCGCCCTTCCTCTGCCGGCCCAGGCGCGTCCAACCCGAGGGCACTGACCGGTGACCCTGGGGAATTCCAGCCTAAGTCCTCATGGACTTCTGTTTGCTCTGTGCCACACATTAGAAAATGTCAGTGCTCCCCAAGGAAAGACTGCTCTCGGATCCAGGAAAACAATTTCTCCATCCAAGATTGAGAAATGTTCATGGTTCTTAAGGAGGCCTGGTAAACTTTTGTGAGCATTTTCATGTCGCCCTGGCACAAGGCAGGAAAGCAGCCCGAGCTGACGTGAACGCGGAAGTTAGGGTTTACCCAGTATGGCGCATATACGACCGTCTCTGAAGAACAGGCAACTGCAGATTCCGCACCACACAACTGCCTCCACGATCAAACTTATTTAATACACCAAACGTGGTCTACATCAAGGGTTTGTTGTACGGGGTAGGATAAAATAGATGATCTCGCCCAGATTATGTGGCAATTACAGTACTAGGGTCAATGTTAAGTAAGTAACATCCCTATGCAAAGGCGCAAACACTCATGCTTACCTCTTATTCAGACATTTACTCGAAACTGATCACAGGCCCAAGTAAAAGAGCTAAAACTATAAAACGCGTAGAAGAAAACACAGGGAAAATCTTTGTGAGTGTGGGTTGGTAAAGATTTCTTGTTTGTTTTGAAACAGGGTCTTGCTATGCAATTCAGACTGGCCTTGAACTCTCCATGTAGCCCAGGCTGGCTTTGAACTGGTGACGATTTTCCTGCCTCAGCCTCCTGAGTGCTAGGATCACATGTATGTACCACCATGCCTGGCTTGGTAAAGATTTCTTACATAAGGCACAAAGATCACAAACCATTAAAGAAAACAGCTGAGAAGAGGAAAAAGCTCGACTGTCAAATGATACTGGGAGAAGTAGTTGCAAAACATGTGTTTGACAAATGGCTTCTACCTAGAATCTGTAAAGAGTTCCTGAAACTCAATCCTAAGGAAAGCAATGACTCAACTGAAAAATCTGGCAGCAGATTTGAACAGACGTCACCAGAGAAGAGGTGCAGGTGGAAAATAAGCACCGAAAAGTTGCTGAATGCGTCAGATCAGAGGGAAAAGTGGAGCGACCTGCAGAGAAGTGTAGGTGCAAACTCCCAGGATGGCAACAGTGAAGCCGGGTACCGGTGGGCACTGCGCACAGAACTCTGGTGCAGTGTGGGCGGACGCAGCAGGGCACGGCGGCGGGAGAGGCTTGAGTTTCCCACCCACCCACACTCCGTATCACCACCGCGGCCCCTCCTGGCTCTGTGCCCAGGACAGGACAGCCCCGCCCCAGCCCACTCGAGCTGTGACGGCAGGACCCAGAACCCCGCAGCGGCGAGGGGAT